AGAGACTGATAATCCAAACTTATCAAGCTTTTTGAATTTTTAACAAGTATTAATAAGATTGAACCAAATTAAACAATATTTACACCTTGTTAAAGTTTCTCAATGCTACTTCTCATCACGCTATCCAAGTCGAAGTGTTCTGGTAATTGGAATTTAATTACCCAACAAACGTACACCTGGTTTAAATAGATTTATTTGTGTGGTCTGCTGACAATTACACGTAAACACGCAGTAATCACATACTGAAGTCTTTTAATTAAACGCTTGTTTGTTTTGAAGACATCATTTCTAATGGTTTATCAGCTTTAAGTGCCTGATTTAAGTTTCTTTGTACAATTCCACTAAGTTTTATATTAAGTACAAATGCTGTCCTTGACAGTTGACATATCCAAATTTTACCTCTTTGGTAATTAATACGAGCAAGTATATTAATCAAATATATTCGTACCCAATCCCACGCGTCAGCTTGGAGTTGCAATATATCGTAACAGAGTAACGATATATTTCAATCTAATATTGGTCGAGATGGTACAACTATCATAATTAATACACACGGCTATACTTCTACACTATATGTGTCATAATAAGCTACTTACCTATACTTACTTATGTCATGGTGCAGGGGTTATTGGTAAGTTGGTATTTGTTTTTATCCGCATTGAACTCCTTTATATTCCTTTCAACACTTTATTATAGTAATCTTTTAGCTACAAATATTTCCATAAGTAAATTTCCATGGTGTAAAGGTTATTGACGCGCTGGAAATATTTCGTTAGCTTATAAAACTTAAAGTGTAAACGGTAAATCTTATTTTCTAAATGCAGTTAGAACCAAGTGACAATAACTTTGTCAGCTTGTTTCTAAGAGTTTGCTGTCTGCAGACCGTGTCAGTACTTGATGTTTAGGTTTTTGTAATAAACCCCGATTTAGTGCGACTTTTTCATTTCTCCCAAAATCTGGATATTACTTTAGTTAGTTTTTATATATTGTATGCTTTTTGCAGACACAATTTTTTACCTGGTCAGAATTAGCTGACAATGACGTTAAATCTACGAAGCTTGGTTTTTATTGTGGGTCAAAATGCCCGGTTCCTTTTGTTTGCCAAACACATTTAAAGGCTACATTCATTTTATCTGTTTATCATATTTGTAAATTTATCTGCTTTAGATGTTACCTTAGGAATGCCCACTGTATTATTGGCTTTAATTACACAAGAACATAATGATAGTTAAGGATAGTAATTATTGGTAAAGATGGGGAGGTGATGTTTAACTTTATTTCAAAATGTAAGCTAAGGAGCGCTGTAAAAGCTCCAGCTCACGAACAAGCTTGAAGATTGTTTACAATTGCAAAACAATTAAAATATACTTACTAAGCCCGACTATGAGTATGTCTGAAAAGCATATTTTAAGAGTTATTTCAGCTCTTTTCCTTTTTTAAACTCTCTCTGTCATTCGTCCAATTGATTTGGTGAGCACAGTAAAATTAAATACTTTCTGAGGAGCATAGTCTGCACATAACTATCAAATATGTCTCATTTATCAAATAAATGCTTATTACTGATTGCATATCGGCAACTTCATTTACAATTGTTTAACTCTGATGCTTAAGTCTAGTTTATTTTCATTATTATGCTGGTCTTGTCTTAATAGTTTATAAGTTAGTTCGATACTATTATTGTATTACAAATTTATCGTATTCTTGTCTCTTAATTTCTTTTTCTTTGCTCACAAAACAATACTCTACCAAAGGCAGTTCCATCACACCAAATGGGACATTACCTGCTCATCCCACTTGTCACCAGCTTACTTCAACTCAACACTGTTCTCGCTAGAATAGAAAAGGTAAGTTCCGTGAAACTGTTCAACAAAATTAACATCCAGCACATAAAATGTATTGGAAATACATTAAACTTTGACACTTATATTTAACGATAGTTGCACCAGTGAAGTGCTTCTGATACTAGTGAAGTGTCAACTGTTGTCCTCTAATTATCAATAGAGGAGAAGAAGCTTACAATATCAGTGATATTAGTCATATTCCACTAGTAAAACTATCCAGCATATAAAATGTATTGGAGATTAGAATTCAAATTATCATTACTTTGATATTTTAGCTTTCTAGCTAGGAAACAAAGCACTTAACACTGTAGGTACACCTACCTACTTAACACTGTAGGTACACCTACCTACTTAACAGTATTCAAAAAGTGTTTAACACTCGTCTAACACCTGATTATAGTCAATCAAACTGAATATTTAAAAGTTTCGATATTATTATTGAGTTATTAAGTGTTAATCTGCCAATGATATTAAACAGTGGTTTGTGGTAAGGACGATAAACATGATACAATAGTGTTCCTACCCTACTCGGTGTATCATCTAATTCTTGAGCAAATCGTTAAATTCCAAACAGCTAGTCGAGCTGAATCTGGGATACCATACTTTCCCAAAACTGACGAATGTTTAACTAAAACTAGGGTAAGAGGATGAGAAGTTTTCCTAGACGAATAAACAAACGATACCAGTACCTTTGTGTCTACTTCATAAATCAGCACCTCCTCAACCCATGCCGCTGCGGGCACGCTAGGACTAATACTACGCGACTTAGTCAGACTTTCTGACTTGTTAAAATTGTTAAAATTCTGTCATTTCTCATCCCAGGGTCAAGTCAAGGGCGCTCTCTGTTGACTGTTCCATGATGTCCTCATTTGTTCACTATACTGTTGGATTTTGGTAGCTCGTTCTCTCTCTCTCTGCTTGACTACTGTTCTTTAAACCCCTTCCACACTAGACAGCGTATAGGATTACTGTTTAACATTGTTTTAGTAGTAAAATTACCATATTAGGGCATCACGTGAAGTAGTAGATTTAGTAGACCTGTCTGCCTGGTGTAAGAACTATATCAGAAAGGTATAAGAATCATGGTACATACATTATCAGTATAGTTTACTATAGTGTTGAAACTTTGAAGAATTAAGAATTAACATTGTCTCCTATAAATCATACAGAATTAGAAACAAATACACAGGATTATGACACCTTAAATCTTTTTTTCTCTATATTATGTTGTATTAGTGATGATTGAGTCTAAAAGTTTAAACGTGACCAAGTATTGGAGGCAAGGTAAAGTTAGTTATAGTAAGGCTTGAGTGGGCCTCGCATTTGACAGTCCTGTCCGGAGTCTGAAATGGTATATCTGTTTTGGTAATTTATATAGTGCCCATTTGTTGCCTCGTCTTATTTACTTATCTACATGAGACACCTGCATTTTGTAAAGCTCGTTTCCATGAGTTGCTGACTAATTACTACTACTACTACTACTACTACTACTACTACTACTACTACTACTACTACTACTACTACTACTACTACTACTACTACTACTACTACTACTACTACTACTACTACTACTACTACTACTACTACTACTACTACTACTACTACTACTACTACTACTACTACTACTACTACTACTACTACTACTACTACTACTACTACTACTACTACTACTACTACTACTACTACTACTACTACTACTACTACTACTACTACTACTACTACTACTACTACTACTACTACTACTACTACTACTACTACTACTACTACTACTACTACTACTACTACTACTACTACTACTACTACTACTACTACTACTACTACTACTACTACTACTACTACTACTACTACTACTACTACTACTACTACTACTACTACTACTACTATTACTACTAATCATGTCAAATTTAAGTTTTACGCCTTGTTAGACCTTTAGAGGTTTGACACAGTCACGTGTCAAAAATCTGCATCTCCTCCCCCCAGAATCTACATCTTCAGCTTATACGAAATAAATAGACTTAGTCAGTGTCTCAGAGTATCTATCTGAGTCAACCTTAGGGCTAAGAAAGCGACATTTGCAAAAAATTCCTCTGAGTATTAATACTTGGTCCCTGGATTAATGTACGTGGGGTAACTAACTGGTTTTTTTTATCACCAGAGACTTTTTCAGGTCAAGAATTAATATTTCCCGAAATCAGACAAGGAATGAAATTCCAATTTAATCTTTATAACATTGGTAGAATATTTTCTTAGACTTTACCCTGTTTCTGTCAACTAGGCGAAGGTGTAATTCTGATAAAAAAATTTACACGGTCTGATATTGACATCGGTGGTAAATTCTAGCTGGTGCTCTTCTGGAATCATTGAACTTGGAACACTGATTGTGCTAATTCAACCTGGCAACGCAGTAAAACTTTAAAAACGTACAGAGTCAATTAGTTCAATTTCCCTCTAGTCGAACTGCAATGATGTAGAAAACTTACAAATATAGGGACGTCTAGAATTAGTATTAGAGTATTTATAGGCTAGTTAGGTATGCGTTAGGTACAGAGTAAGTATTAGAAAGAAACTGAACGTTGACACGACTAGGCCACGTCAACTTTGTAAGTTTCAACTTCTTTTCCTCCTCTCCTACACTAACATCTGCTCCTTCATAAATATTAACATCTGGCACAATTCTACAGAATCTTGATAAATTTACTAATGTTTTTCTACAGAATCTTGATAAATTTACTAATGTTTTGTAAACCCCTATAATAGTGCTATAGTGCGAATAAATGTGCTTTAGTTGAGAAGTACATTAAACTTTGGCACTATTTGATGATAGTTGCACCAGTGAAGTGTCTCTGATACTAGTGAAGTGTCAACTGTTGTCCTCTAATTATCAATAGAGGAGATGAAGCTTATAATATCAGTGATATTAGTCATATTCCAGTTGTAAAACTATCATCACGTTTATTTAATGGCCCTGTTAATTCTACAGGTGTCCAACGTAATGTCAGGTTTTCTCGGGGTTTGTCGGTATAAGTGCAACGTTTTTGTCATATCTGGCTCCAAGTAACCTGATCGCATATGATACACCACGCATTTTTGTAGTAGTATAATTGCTGAAGCACAAGATAGTAAACATGTATTATTAAGAAACTAGATAGAAATCTATCAATGAATGTCAGTCTTTGGAGGTCTCTCGTATTGATCGTGTTTCTGATTCCGGTCTTATCTACTAAAGCTATTGGTCAAAGTGATCGCTTCAAGAAGGTAAGTTGGAGAGCAAATTATAACGTGGCACTTTATCATTTCTTTGTATTTTAATTAAATAATTTTTTTAGCCATTATACTTATTTTGAATTACTTGCAAAATCACAATCAAATTCACACGTTGGTGCAAACTAAAATGATTTATCGAATTGTAAGGTTTTTCAATTTGATTTAAAGATTTAACGAACAAATCATATCAGTGATGAGATCAAATAAATTGATAAAATCCCATAATTCATTAAAATTTCAACGATCAGTCAGATGGTTTGTGACATTACAAAGCTGCTGTTAAGTGTTAACTGTAATTCAGTCGCTAATTCGTATCACGTCATCTACAATTAACAGTACTGATACCAATCAGGCGAGATAATTACAATTACCACACTTTAATTATCGAAGGTTAAGAGCAATTTAGTTTCTGTTAGGAAAAACCTGGTTATATCTTTGTAGGCAGTTTTAGTCTTTCGTCAGCGTCTGACGGTTAATTAAGTTAATTATAGGTTAATTACCTTACAAGACATTTTTGTGGCGGACCAATGTGCGACGACCGAAATTTTGGCGGTCCGAAAATATGGCGAAATTGAACAAAAACCGTCACATTTCGGACGTCACAGAAAATAAGGGTATTTTTCATCATTTTGTTTTCTGACACAAAGGAAATTCAAAATTTTCTAAAAATCGGTAAAATCATGTTGAAACAAAATGAAACTTATAAATCGATTTCTTCATCTTCCTCTAAGGGGTCCGGCTCGAATCTTTCAGTTTCACTTATTGAGTTTGGTATTAAATTGTTTATCTTGACTTAGTCTATAAGACGTTTATGTTAGCACATAAATGTAATTTATTGTAAATTTAAAACGTATAACTTGACATTAAATTCATCATGGAATATTGTGTTTATTTGTCCCACCATCATATCACTAACTTTTCAAGAACAAAATGAATCGATGAAGCCACAATTATTGGAATAAGCTAAAAATAATGCGACGGATTCTATTACGACGACCGAAATTTTGGCGGTCCGAAAATATGGCGAAATTTCGGGAAAACCGTCGCATTTCGTACGTTATAAAAATGTCTTGTAAGGTAAGTCTGACAATTATAATTAAGTCTGCACTCCGCAATTTTGTTTCAGTCGATATCTCGCATTTAAATCAAGCAGTCTTTCTACCCGTTCAGTGATATTTAGCGATATGAATTTAAATTCGTCTGAATTGTTATGATTCAAATATGTGTGGTACTGTTAGTCTTGTGTCTTCAAATAGGAAACAGTTCTCTATCTTACAAAAAGAGTGAAGATATTTGGGGATATAATCCTGCTTTCGTAAGTTCCTGCAGCTGGTGTGACATTAGTGTGACATTAGTGTGACATTAGTGTGACATTAGTGTGACATTAGTGTGACATTAGTGTGGCATTAGTGTGACATTAGTGTGACATTAGTGTGACATTAGTGTGACATTAGTGTGACATTAGTGTGACATTAGTGTGACATTAGTGTGACATTAGTGTGACATTAGTGTGACATTAGTGTGACATTAGTGTGACATTAGTGTGACATTAGTGTAACATTAGTGTGACATTAGTGTAACATTAGCTGTGATTAGTGAACATTATGTGACATTAGTAGTAACATTAGGAGACTTATGCACATTAGTGAGATTAGTGTGACATGTAATAAGTAACATTAGTGTGACATTGTGTAACACTTAATGTGACATCAGTGAAATTAGTGTGACATATGCGACTTATGTGACTAGTTGAATTGTGACATTGTCAATTAAGCCGTTCATTCTGTGGTCAAACTAATTTTTTCATAAACCCTATCTTGGTATCCGTTCAATCACTTGTATTCACCAGTTTGGTAACTATTCGAACCTATCGGCCATTATTGACGCATTATTAACCTGGAGGTCTACTCAGGTTAGCTTTGCGTCTCAGACCTTAAAGGTCCCATGTTTAAGTTTAGTATCTTCCACCACGGGATACTGTAGGATATGACAACTTTTAAATGGGGCATGTGTATAAAGCATCTCTGCAGGTGTCCGAGATGAACTGTTTCGGTGTTGAGAAACTTCGCTGTAGAAACTGAATAGAACCAGTAAGGGTGTCAGTCAAACTCTGCTGCTACTAGATGATTGTAGAGCGTCCAGTCACACTTCAATAAAGAGTGTGGCAAAGCTAACCCGGTCCCTGAAAAGTGGTTACTGGAGGAAGAAGTGCCAGGAATTCTCGTTATCAGTGTGTCCTCGTAGTCAGAGTTGAAATCCCTAATTCTGTCTTATCACGAGCCTGTGTCTAGCGTGTGTCAGCCCTTACGCATTAGCTGTCTTAACTGAAAAGACCTGAAAAGTGGTTACTGGAGGGAGAAGTGCCAAGACTACTCATTATCAGTGTGTCCTTGTAGTCAGGATGAGCGAATTGGAATCCCTAGCTCTGTGGTGGGTGACTTCGATGGGACCTGAAAGCTGAAAGAGAATTTCCTGGTGATTTAATAGCTCTTAGAGCTAGGTATCTGTGTCTAACGTATCGTCATTTGTGTGTGAACTATCTTGTAACCTGATATCTGAAAGAGAAATTTCCTGGTGCTTGGTAGCTGTTAGTGTTGACTTCCTGGTTCCTATGGGAACTTTGGGTTGGCAAGTCCCAACCTTAGTACTCAACAAGAGAGCACACCACCCGTTAGTGCCAACCAGGCCACACCACGTGGAGGTTCGGAGAGGATTTCGTGACCCGTCGCTAATTCGTATCACGTCATCTACAATTAACAGTACTGATAGTGATACCAATCAGGCGAGATAATTACAATTACCACACTTTAATTATCGAAGGTTAAGAGCAATTTAGTTTCTGTTAGGAAAAACCTGGTTATATCTTTGTAGGCAGTTTTAGTCTTTCGTCAGCGTCTGACGGTTAATTAAGTTAATTATAGGTTAATTAAGTCTGACAATTATAATTAAGTCTGCACTCCGCAATTTTGTTTCAGTCGATATCTCGCATTTAAATCAAGCAGTCTTTCTACCCGTTCAGTGATATTTAGCGATATGAATTTAAATTCGTCTGAATTGTTATGATTCAAATATGTGTGGTACTGTTAGTCTTGTGTCTTCAAATAGGAAACAGTTCTCTATCTTACAAAAAGAGTGAAGATATTTGGGGATATAATCCTGCTTTCGTAAGTTCCTGCAGCTGGTGTGACATTAGTGTGACATTAGTGTGACATTAGTGTGACATTAGTGTGACATTAGTGTAACATTAGTGTGACATTAGTGTGACATTAGTGTGACATTAGTGTGACATTAGTGTGACATTAGTGTGACATTAGTGTGACATTAGTGTGACATTAGTGTGACATTAGTGTGACATTAGTGTGACATTAGTGTGACATTAGTGTGACATTAGTGTGACATTAGTGTAACATTAGTGTGACATTAGTGTAACATTAGTGTGACATTAGTGTAACATTAGTGTGACATTAGTGCGACATTAGTGTGACATTAGTGTGACTAGTGTGACATAAGTGTAACATTAGTGTGACATTAGTGTAACATTAATGTGACATTAGTGTAACATTAGTGTGACATTAGTGCGACATTAGTGTGACTAGTGTGACATTAGTGTGACATTGTCAAATATATGTGCCGTTCATTTCTGTGGTCAAACTAATTTCTTTCATGATCCCTATCTTGATCCGTTCAATCACAATTTAGTTCAACCAGTTTGGTAACTTTCTGATACCTTATCGGACCTTATTTGAACGGACATTAATTAAACGCTGGAGGTCCTACTCCTAGCGTTCATCTTAATGTCCGTTCAAATAAAGTCCGTCCGTTTAAGGTCCGTCCAAGTTAAAGTCCGTTGAGATTTTTTCCAAAATTATTCCACTGCGAACTCATGTTTAGGATATGACAACTTTTTAATTTCATTTAATTGTAATTTTTATCATCGGATTCGGACTAAACTATATCATTGGATCAACGAAAAACGAGTTATTGTACAATATAAATATTCTAAGTATCACATTATGGCATGATCACTTTCTTGATCTTCGGCTTCCTCGTTCACTTCTTCGGAGTTATTATTTACCTCCACATCTTTTAAAAGTTTACACTGAAATGCAGGACCGAGGTAGTCGAATACAAAATTGTTTTCAAAAAGCAGGTATTACTGATATGATGCTTTAAGCATGGAATATTTAATGCACGATAACCCATATTTGAGGAAGATGACCTGTGATATGATCATCAAATCTGGTCATATTTCGTATCTGTTGTTTATACACAACTTCCATAATCAAATACACTGATCTACAGATATTTTGACATTTTTTACTGCTTAACGACTGCCTTTCTTGCTCATTCATGTATGAAAAATTAATTTACAAATTATCTGCTAAAATTTTAAAAACGCCAAAAAAAATATTCATGGACCCTAAACAGATTTTAATCAAAAATTCAAAACGTTAGATATTTCTTCAGTTTCAGGGCTGTTACTATGTGTGTTACCATGGTTACTATATTTTCTCTATTTCAGGGCATCTTCTGTGAGGCATGCGATTTGTTGAATATGAGATATTGTTACGAACAACGGTGTGACAGGTCCCACTTTTGCTACAAGACAGAAACTGCTAGCGGCTGCAGTAACCCCTATATGCACAAAATACAAGAATGCAGGTGTTTTTTGATCTTTTACTTTAACCATTAACTTATATGCACAAAATACAAGAATGCAGGTGTTTTTTCATCTTTTACTTTAACCATTAACCAATCTTTTACTGTGAACAATTCATGTTTATTGTTGCCAACTTGTATTTTATTAATTTAAAAAAATGAATTATCTGATTGCCTAAGTACAAATTTTCTTTTCAGGAATATGCACAGAGGAGACTGCTGTTTTGCCAGACAGGATCTCCATGGAAAGAGATTTAATACTACGCAATGTGCCCACCATATACCTAAAGTAAATCTAAGCTTTAATGTTGTTACTCTAAAAGTCTTGAATAACGATCTGAAAAGTATCAGGATCCTAAGGATCCTAAGGATCCGATTCTTTAAAAAGTATCCTGCTAGATTCTCAAAAGTTAATTAATTCCACCGTGTTTATAAGAAGATAACACATCATAGCTAATAGCTATTCAGATATTAGTTACCATGGCTACCACATTTTCCCTTATAAGGTCATGTGCCACTCATGCACCAGGATGGGAGGCTGTAAACCAATAAGCTGTGGAACTGGAAACCTCTGTTACGCTAACAGGTGAATACCGTGATACTTGAAGGTGGTCTCAAGCTGCACATGTCGCTCTCAAATCCAACGATAAGCAGTGACTTTCGGAACTTGAAACCCCCTTAATTACTACTGATTTGTTTACCATCGATATTGTTTGATTGTGCCGTAAAAATAAATAACTGTTTTATTATTACTTTATTAGTAGAGGATACAGATAGACACAGATTCTCAGCTATTTCATAGTTATATGTGAACTTTTCTTGGTAACCGGAATTTTAATTGGTCGGACATAAGACATTACGTAGACGCAGAGTTGTCAAATGTCCACGAGAAATGTGATACCTAAAAGGTACCTAAAAAACATACCTAAAACACATACCTAAAACACATACCTAAAACACATACCTTAAAGCTATACAACTCTTATCAACAGGTTTGAAAGTGGCTGCGCTAATACATCCTCCTATGAGGAGTGCAACTTTAAAAACGATAAATGCTGTGAAGGGAGAACTGCTTTAAGAGCTTGGAATGCCACACAGGTTTAAAAAATCTTATTCATGGTATAAATAATGGAAACATGAACTGAACATATTAAAATATTAGAAAACAACCAGTAGAACAGTAGAAGTACATCCATTTATAGCTTAAATAATCACAGAGGTAGAAAACTAACCGAGTACTAACAGCATGATAATAATTTATAGATTTATTTATTCATTAACTCTCCCTCAGTGTCAAGCAGAACCAGCACCAGTCTGTGAAACATGTCCACCCCAGAGAACAACAGGAAGGTTAAAGGACTGCTCCTCTGCGTCCTGCCCGGGGCTGTGTTTTATCAAGCAGTTCAATTTCACCAGAGTGGAGACGTCGAAACCTAATTATACTACAGGTTTATTGAGTGTTTCATTGAGTGTTTTATTGAGTGTTTTATTGAGTGTTTTATTGAGTGTTTTATTGAGTGTTTCATTGAGTGTTTTATTGAGTGTTTTATTGAGTGTTTCATTGAGTGTTTTATTGAGTGTTTTATTGAGTGTTTTATTGAGTGTTTTATTGAGTGTTTTATTGAGTGTTTTATTGAGTGTTTTATTGAGTGTTTTATTGAGTGTTTTATTGAGTGTTTTATTGAGTGTTTTATTGAGTGTTTTATTGAGTGTTTTATTGAGTGTTTTATTGAGTGTTTTATTGAGTGTTTTATTGAGTGTTTCATTGAGTGTTTTATTGAGTGTTTTATTGAGTGTTTTATTGAGTGTTTTATTGAGTGTTTTATTGAGTGTTTTATTGAGTGTTTTATTGAGTGTTTTATTGAGTGTTTTATTGAGTGTTTCATTGAGTGTTTCATTGCGTGTTTTATTGAGTGTTTTATTGAGTGTTTTATTGAGTGTTTTATTGAGTGTTTTATTGAGTGTTTTATTGAGTGTTTTATTGAGTGTTTTATTGAGTGTTTTATTGAGTGTTTTATTGAGTGTTTTATTGAGTGTTTTATTGAGTGTTTTATTGAGTGTTTTATTGAGTGTTTCATTGAGTGTTTCATTGCGTGTTTTATTGAGTGTTTTATTGAGTGTTTTATTGAGTGTTTTATTGAGTGTTTTATTGAGTGTCAATTTTGGTGATGAGTATCGTTTATCTCGTGATCAATGTAAAACAAATTGTAATTGCCAAGTTGTTTTCAGAAAGCAAACATTATTACAGTTGTTTATATTGAAATAACAACAAACCATCCTTCCTCAGAGCCAGAGTACACAAAAGGAATATTGTGACTTTTAGATGTAGTTGACTAAAACAAAAGAAATGACTTGTTTTATTGAAAAAGTTATTTATTTATTTATTAACTAAAGAATCCCATCAGAGTACACAGAAACAGGCTGCAGTCCCTCCCACCTTAACGTACAATCCTGCAACAGCACCCACCAGCAGTGCTGCACTTCACACAACAGCACAGACTGTTACCATAATTACCATCCTAACACTGCCTCAGCCGAAGTGCGATTCTTCATTGCCTTCTTTCTTATACTGGCTATCATGGGGTTCGTGCTGTGCTTGTGCTTCTCGGACAGCGACGACAGATAATATACGACACACGACAGATAATGTACTTACTTTGGGCGATCATCGATCGAAATCCCGTTCACTATCTTCCTCAAAACTTCTCGATCTCACATAGCAGAACAGATGATTTGATACCTGACAAGGAAATGTGTTGTTATTCATGTCATCTATAAACATCAGAAGATAAAGGACATACGGGTTCATTGTATGCGTTCTTTCCGGAATGTTCCAACTGAGACAGAGAGACTAAGACTAGAATCGTGCCCCAACTGTGCTTACCCAAAACATACCCTAACTCAGCCTCAACCACCGCTCAATATTAGTGAAGTTTCGAGTGAAATGTTTTGGGTATCATATTTTGATTCATCATTGATATGCACAGAATGGACATGAAGATAATGGACGTATGGGTTCATTTTATGCGTTCTTTCTTTGGTGGGTACAACATTAGTGAAGTTTCGAGCGAAATATTTTCGAATATTATATTTTCAGCATGGATCAAATTTGAAACGACCTTCAGCTAGCAGGATTAAATCTACTTTTGTCGTTTTAAGGAAGCAGCTCTTTTCAGCGTATAACCATTTAAACGAAGCCGTGAGCGTATTCCTGGCGAATCAGACATTATTATTGAGTTATTGGTGTTTCCAGACGTGTCTCTTTTCGAGCTTCTCGCATTGGTTATTATTACTAATTATTGGTGCTAAAATTGTAGTAAGAGCTATACTGTAGTGTAGCGATTTATAATTGGCGTTATTAAGACATTTTCGATAAGTTCAGCCAATCAATATTCAATATTCGCATGGACACGTTCATTGAAGTTTGAGGATATTGGTAAATATTAGTGGCTCTCTTAAATGGCACGATGAGATAAAATTTGTCACACTATGAAACTATATAAACCCTCAATGGTTAGGATAATCGTCTCATCTTCAAGGTAAACTTTGTCACATAACGATATCTTTATCAAATGGTAAGATATAATCGCTTAAATTGGGCCGGTAGTGTGATGTGAACTTTGTCACACTATAAAAACGTTATCATGACCCCTTACTGCCGCGTTAGACCAAATTTTCGAATTTCCAGTTCATAAGATAGTTCCATATGACTATCATCTACATATTTAAAAAATGTATACGAGGGATGTTATTGACTAATTGACATCCTGACAAGGAATGCCGAATAATCTAGCATTATTTTATGACCTGAATGTGTTGGGAATTGTTAAAATATCTTATTATTAATATTATAAGCAAATAAAAACACAGACGGCACAAATAGGTAAACTTTGTTACATATACTTACTTGATACTTGATAAGGTCTCCTCAATCATTCGAGTGGCCTGCACCAAGGAATTGCCGCTTATGTCGTATCATCTCTCTCCAGTGCTTTCGGTTTCCTGCCAACTCTCGGACCTTATCAAATACAATGTCTGGATCTCCTGTGAATGTTACTGCGTCTTCTAGGACACAGGTTCGCCAATTCTTTCTTGGCCGCCCACGTGATCTTCGGCCGTGAGCAGGGGTCCAATCAAGTAGATACTTTGGTAGCCTGGTGTCCGGCATTCTAGAAACATGTCCAAACCAGCGAAGACGGTTGGCACTGATGTAGGTTATAACCGGGTTTATTCTTGCCCGCTCCAACACTTGAACATTGCTCGTCCGGTGGAACCACTTAATTCGAAGGATTCTCCTCAAACAGTTTTGATGAAAAACTTCGAAGCGATGTAGTTGCTTTGAAGTAGTGTTCCAGACTTCGCTTCCATAAAGTAATATTGTTAGAACCGCTGCAACATATATCCGTATTTTGGTGTTAGTTTGGATATTGCGATTCTTCCAAATATTACCGAGCTGATTGAATGCTCCTGAGGCTTTCTGGATCCGTGCAGACAAGTCCCGGTCAATAGTCCCATCACTTGATATAATCGACCCAAGGTAAGTGAAGTTGCTGACTTGCTGGATAGCCGTGTCTCCTACTGTAATGTCCACTGTTGATGCTTCAGTATATGGCCTCTGTGATGTATTCTTGCCGATGGCCATAACCTCTGTTTTCTTCGCATTGATTCTGAGGCCAGCCTGAGCCGCATACTTGCATAAAAGATCAGTCGTCTCCTGGAGACCGTCCTTGGTGTTGTCCATGATAGCCAAATCATCTGCATAGTCAGTATCCAGGACGACCGTATCCTGACCAGAGCTGGTGGTAGCTCTCTGCAGCACTGCCCCGTGTGACAACACTTTGTTATCCTCAGCCCGCTGCGCAGGCAGGTTGATGCAAACATTAAAGATAGGTGGACCCTGAATATCCCCCTGCCCAGAACCAGATGTAACGTCAAACCACTCAGAGAGCTCGCCATTATGTCTGACAGCGCTGACGGTGCCGCAAAAGAATGCTTGCATTATGCGAATGTATTTACAAGGCAAGCCATAATGACTGAAAGCTTTCCAGATAAACTCCCGATTAAGTGAATCGAATGCCGCTTTAAAGTCAACAAAATTTATGTAAAGGGGGAGATTAAACTCAATGCTGTTGTGAATAATAGTACGGAGCGAATAAATCTGATCTATGCAAGACCTGTTTTTCCTGAACCCGCACTGATTCTCTCGGAGCAGTTCTTCAAGCCCCGCATTCATCCGTCGCAACACTATTATCTGATAGAGTTTTGATGCCGTGGAGCGTAGGGTAATACCCCTGTTGTTCGAGCAGTATGATGTATCACCCTTTTTCGGGACAATAACAATGATACCCTTAACCCAATCCTCTGGCACATTCTCTGTCTCCCATACACGTGCAAACAGTTTCTCAAGCCTGTCTAAAAGACCAGGAGCCCCATACTTCAGCTGTTCGTTGGAAATGTCATCAATTCCAGGGCTCTTGTGATTCTTCAGACTCTTTAAAGCTTCAGAGATCTCTGTTCTACTAGGGGGTATATCACTATCACTCAGATACGGAAAACATGGTGCGACCTCTAGACTGTCTAGGTCTGAAAGGTCCACGTCTCCTATCTGCGGGTTTAGTAGTTCAGCGAAGTGCTCACCCCATCGTTTTCGTTGAGCAGCGGGGTCAGAAATCAACTTCTCGGTTTTATCTCTGACAGCAGTTGACTTCCGACTTTTCTTGCCTGACAAGGACTTGATCATCTGCCAGACCTCTCTCTGCTGACCGTGTGAAGAAGCTGTTTCCAGATCGGCTGCAACCCGTAAAGCCCAGTTCTCATCGTCCTTCTTGCAGCTCTTCTTAATACGCTTATTAGCAAGAGAATACTCAGATCTATTGAATCCATCACTTGGGCATTTCTGCTTGACCTTACTCCGCTCCGTGATGAGATCCTTTGTCTCTTGTGATCCTTTGTCTCTTGTTACATATATTTGTATAATATCTCAACAATCAACATAATATCTCAACATTGTGAAATTGAGCAAATATTGGTATACCACCCTAAACACCCTATATTACGTACTATGGATCAATGAACACTATTGCAACCACGCACCGGTCCAATCGAAGTATGGTTATCATTGCTTCGAAATTGAACCTATTTGATCGAAACGGTTTTTCGCCGATAACTCGCCAGGGGAGCATTCTAACCTTATGTCATGTGGGGTGATTCGGAATCAGCATTAAACAATACATCGATTCATTGATTCAAGTTGGTGGATAATTTCGATTATTAAATGATTTTAGATGATTATAGATGATTTTAAGAAGGCGCAGGTTATATCTCCACCGAAAACTGAAGAACACTCCCCAAATTGCGTGCATTACAGCGTAACTCCTTTCAAACTTCATGAATTGAGATCAAATCTTTTGCAATGTATTTAGAATCAATATATGCACTTATACAAATCAATTTACTTGGAATATTTTTGAAAGAGAATAACAAGCTCAAAAACTGTCTTATTTCTCCGTAAAAATACAGGGTGGGCCAAAAGTTAGTGTACATACGTTAGGTCTTATACCTCCGCCGTGTTTTATATTTGAGAGCTGTTCCTTTGCAGATGGCATACTGTACTTTATACTGGTTCGACTTTGAGGATTCCATCGTCAAAATTTGAAAATTCGAATATTTTAGACCACGCCCATTCAATATTAAAAAACTTATATTGTTTTCTCTGAACATGCTAAACGCCTAAATTTTTCAGAGACGGTAGATTATTAAATGTTGCATATGATGTGAAAACATGAGGCAAAACGGAATAGAAATGACGAAGTTATCAAGCATTTTCTGTATCTCGTTAACAAAATTGACTGGGTGATAATGTGACACCGTGACACGACACCTTAATTGGGCACCTTTAACAATTCCCAAAATGTTTAACGGGGTGGTTAACGGGGTCACCTATCACACGTTATGAATAAACTCGTTACGCTTCATATCTCGGTCATCTGAGAAGCTACAGTTCTAATTTTTTTAGGACAAACGTAATTCGAATGGCCAAACACAATTAAATAAAATTTAGCTCGATCCGACTATCCAAACTATCAAATAAATGCAAAAATGAACCTTCATTCGAAAAGAATGAACTCGAATATTTTTCGATTTGACAAATTCCTCGAACCAGTGGTGGTAGTAAGTCATACCAGGAAGAATTTTTTTCAATTGGGCACTCATTAACTGAGCTATTAAGGCCAACGTATGTCCACTGACTTTTGGCCCACCCTGTATATAATCTGCGATATGGACACGTTTATTGAAGTTTGAGGATATTGGCAAACAAAAAACTAGAGTTTTCGACGATAGTGGCTTAATTTTAGCATCTATTAATCTAGCGTGTTCAGAATCGACACACTGTTACAGTTGAAATGAATCAAACTGAACCTGCAAATTCTACTGTTTGTGTTATCAGGTGTGTGGGAGGACAAAGTATAAATGTGTAATTCTGTAATATATTTTATACTCGATGAACTCTCCCCTTGGAACGGCTAAAAACAAATAAAGAATTTACCAGATAGTGATCAATTTTAGATCGTATGATGGAATTAAAATATCAAGATTTTTAGAAGTTAATTTGGAAAATATTTTTTTGTTTTATATATGTTTCTACAAATATACATGTTTCTACAAATTGTTTTATTCGACTAATCTCTTCAAATTTCATTCTGAAATATGAATATACGTTTTTTTTAAGTCTCTGTTATTCAACTACTTACAAAAATTTTAATGACCTTGAATTGATCAAATACAATGAAACCCCGATTTAATTCGCCCCGATTTACTGCAAACACCGGTTTACCGAGACCATCTCCTTTCCCCCAAATAGCTGGCTTAACATGCATAATGTAGACAAACAAAACCCTGATGTAGACAAACAAAACCCCGATTTACTGCAGATGTTTCCTTTCCCCAAACTCCGTGGTAAATCAGGGTTTAACTGTGCCTAGTTAAAGAAATAGGCTAAATACTTCAGTACAGAACGCTCCAATTGGAAAAAATGTACTTTAATCAACGCACGAGTTAGAATAAAGAGCTGACATTTTGAGTCCTTAACAATAATCCAGTAAAATTAATTAATGATTTTAGATAATTATAGACATGAGTTATTAGAACTTTAGAACAAAATTATAACACATCAAAACAGGGACATTCGATGGTAGTCATCGAGATATGAGTCTTAATTCTTAAACCCCAAGAAACCACGGAGAAGAATATATATTTTGTAGGAAAGACCTTACTAATTACTAGTGAGCTCTCGTGAAATTAGAAGACTACATAACATAAATAGACGGACGAGTTTCGAAAGGTTAAATGAAAAGTAACAATGCTTCTGGACGTGTAAGAATTCAACTGAGCTTCAGACAGTGAAAGACTAGGGATGTTTTGAAAATATAGGAATCTATTTTTCTGTGACTTTCAGTTACTACTATATTATAACTGTTTGGATTATTGCTACCATCTTATTTCCTCGGTTTTTGGTGTTAACACAATAATCAGTTTAATTACAATTTTACCAAGTTTTACCTAGTTTTTTACAAGTTCGTTTAGATTCAATGGGGGGGGGGGGGTTCACCCTGATTTTTGTGAAACTTGGTTTTCGAGATAGCAGTTGACCAACAAACTAGTACCGGGTGACCGAACTTTTGAGGGGTCCAGGACCCCAACCGCGCAAACGGTGCCCGCGGGAAACCACGCCCATATTTGGTCCCCAAATTAGGCCCAATTTTAGCAAATACCCCGAACAAGCCCAAAACCCTGATTTTAAGGTGCTCTACTTGTAGCTCTTAGTGGTCCCCTGAAACTCGTGTATGAATATTCATTCAGATTAGACAAATATGACTTGTTATGAGCTAAACACTAAATATGACCATATTTGGGGCATAACACACCAAATTTATCGATTTTTGTTGGCCATAATTGGTCTAATATCAATATTTTTGAACGAAATCAACTTTTATAATGATAGTAAGCCTAAACTACACATTCTCTATGATTATCAGCTCAATATCTACCTAACTGATGATTTCGGTGTCAAATAATCGCAAAACATTAACAAAATCCCCAGATCGTCAGTTCGCGATATTTGCGAAACTGATTGGCGCTCAAAACAAAAAAACTCAATATAAATAGGGTTTCAATATTTTTCATGATTTTTTATTCAAATGAACGTTGGGGAGAAAAATTGCCTCATGAACTTAAGTTTTGTAGTGGAATTTTAAGTTAGGCCTTTAAAAAAATTGGGCGGCCAAATGCAAATTCTGAAATTTGCCGGGCAGTTTTCAGATTCGATCGCCAAATTTTTTTAAAGGCCTAACTCAACATGAATTGCGCCCGTTGTTTCGTTTTGGCGGACGCTAGATTTCCATGTCACATTTACTATAAATTTAAGTATAAAGCCTCAAATCAGCTCTCTTCAATCCTCATAAATTAATAATGTATAAATTATGCATCAAATACGAAAAAATTCAGTTCAATTGCCTTTAACTTAACTTGTAACTGTAATTCAAGAAATGATCCAGCAAGGTAACATACCGGGTACAAATCAATGCCCTAACGCGTGCCACGTACAAATTGGGCGTATTACCTAATATAATATATACATTACAGCATCAAATACATTAAAACACAGTCGCGCGCGCGCATCATGAATCACAGGCTATCTATACATCACATCTCCGCATAGCAATCCTCCGCGCGCGAAACGATTTCGTTGCTTGTAAACGGACGGAAAGTAAGGAACACGACATAACTCAGACCCCACCTACTGCAATCTCCAAAAATCCACGTTTTTCTGCAAAAACCTCCATCAGTAACCTTTCACTATTTGCTTTTCAAAAGGGTGAAAAGGAAAAAATCGATCAAATTTGGTGCGTATGCCCAAATATGGTCATATAGTTTTTACTTTTTAGCTCATAACTCAGTCAGATCATTTTTGTCCAATCTTATAGAAAATTCAATATACGAGTTTCAGGGACCCACTAGCTACAAGTATAGCACCAAAAAAGCTGGTTTGGGCATGTTCGGGGTTATTTGGCTAAATGGGCCTAATTTGGAACCAAATATAGGGCGAGGCTGCCCCGCGTGGGCACCGTTGGCGGTTGGGGTCCGGGCACCCCCTCAAAAAGTTCGATCACTGCGTCCTAGTGTATCTCGAAAACAAGTTTCACAAAAAATCATGGTGAAACCCCCCCCCCCCCCCCCCCCCCCCCCCCCCCCCCTTAAATTGACACACGCAACAAATGTATGTACCAAAAAATGGGCAATTCGCTTTTCATCTTTTCCTGAATACCAAAATCTTAAAATCATAAGAAAGGTGATTTAAATTATAATAATATTGTTCAAATGTTTAAGTTATAAATGTGTTGTTATCTAAAACACAAAGAAAAATTCCCATTGCATAATGTTAAAGATACTTAAAGATGCAGAATGTTTTATCTACTACGATGTCCTGATCAACTTCCTCTCCTGGAAAAGAGAACAAGGCAGTAAAGACAGAGTGGTATCCCAACAAACACTGCCTGCATAATACGGACCCAGTTGAGTCCTTCAATCTTTGAGTGCTTACCCGGCCTGAAGCGAGCGTGTTTAATTTATTTAATTATTAATTAATTATTATTTATTGTGTCTACAGTTTGAGATTAAGTATGGTAAAATAACACGGATATACCATCCAGCGGTAGTTGAAATAGTTTTGTTGGAATATTCTTCTTACAATATATAATATCAATTATATAGGTCCACTTGAAACATTGCCAGGGAGATCACATAAATATTTACGATAATTTTTGTCGTATTCAATGAACCTCGCTTCTAGTTTCAGTGTTCGATTAAGATTTAATGGTAATCGTTTTAGTGATAATTAATTAATTAACTAATAAAATGCGATGAGTTGACTTACACTACACAATCAAGTGGGGCACTATGTAGGCCCAGTCCCAGACTAAAAGCAATCAGTCCACCTGAAATAGAAATAATTATAATTACAGTTGTCGAAAAAATTCATAAAACACATTGCTTTTGATATCTATATTCTAAATGTGATTTAGTTAATGGGATTTAGTTCTGGGTTTTAACATGACCAACGTGTTCGATCACTTTACACGACTACACTCGAATGTTGAAATTTGTCTAGAGGAGCCCGGGCAGTTTTGACCAACTAGATTATAGACGCAATCATCCTAAATGACACGGACTTGAAATTATTACTGACACGTTATTTCAAAATATTGTTATGATCGCGTGACATTACCACATAATTGTAAGCGATAGGTACAATTTCTCGGTAGGGTTGGGATTCGGGCATATTCTGGGATAAATTATTAGGCTAGGGTTAAGTTTATTGGGCCAGAGTAGAACGTTAAAAGGTAAGGGTCCGTCAGAGTCACATTGGAGTCACGTGTTAATATAGGTCACGTGTTAACAAGTGTAGAGTGCTGAATAAAAACTATCATCTTACCAATGAAAGAGATGAAAATGTCCTTGCAGTCCAAATATTTGGAGACAAAGACGACAACAAACATGGCCAGCAGGAAGAACCAGAGAATAAGTCCTTCACCATTACCTCCAACCTTGCTTACTCCCAGGCACTCACTCCCTGAATTTTAGTTAGGTTACTAAAGTAATTTATGGAGAAATTTAGTTTATATTTTCATTGGAACATTGTCATCATCGAGTCCATTCAGAAAAAAATCTGGAAATTTATTGAAAGAATCATCGGATGAGATTTAATAAAAGTACCACGTCTACATACTTAATCAATTAATTGTTAGTTAGGTTACAAAACCAATTTATGGAGAAATTGCTTGTATAGTTGCAATTAAAACTTGATTATCCTGTAATGGTAAACCGAAATATCGAGTCATCACGAATTCCTAATTTCCCCCTCAAAAATATACCTTTTAAGCTTTATATTATATATATCAAAAGTCCGGTTAAATTCAGATTTTAATTTCTATACTTAATTAGGGAAATCGCTTACTTTTTCCTGCTAATTAGTTTAATAAAATATCAATACACTTCTGGTTAGCTTTACTTAATCCTATATATAACAAAAGGACACTTAATCAAGTGAAAGTGAAGGTGAAAGTGAAAGTGAAAGTGAAAGTGAAAGTGAAAGTGAAAGTGAAAGTGCAAGTGAAAGTGAAAGTGAAAGTGAAAGTGAAATTGAAAGTGGAACTTACCTTTGATACCCAGTATCCGTACGCAAAGAGCATATCCAAGAGTGGAAAGTAAGATGAATATCTCGTCAGGTAGATAATATTTGATCGGTTGCATGATGCTAGTTACGTGACAATATACTATCTAAAGAAATTAAAGTGAAATTATGAAAAGAGACTGGTAAATGAAGAAATGATTACTTCATAATAAACCATAATTGGTAATCGAGGTACCTGTTGCATTTGCAATGGTTGATATAATTTATAATGTTGCGACACCGAAAATATAGTATTCATGAAATTATAAACAGTATTCATAAATTCACATATCGGCAACTTTAACCAGTGCGAAAATCTCAATAAACCGATAACACGAACATAGCGACACTAATTTTTCAGTTTGTATCAAATTTGTGTCGCTTCATCGTATGACGGATAATACTATATAGTTCGTGAACAAGTAGATTGTTTGATTGATCGGGAAGCCAATTAAAGGTTATATTTAGAAAACAATACGAAAGCCGGGCAAGGCTTTTTTCTTTAATTTAAACAATTATGATGGCATTGTTTTCTGATACGAAGGATCACACGCATTTGGGTTTATCTCAACACATGCACAAGTAAGTCTCTTCTAAAATTGGAGAAAAATAGCCAAATAAAATTGCTTTCTCTACAATTAAGACTTTCCTTGACACGCTCCATTCGAAAGAAATAAACAATGTTTCTTCTAATTAGATCACCATATTAGCGACAAAAGAATTGCAATTGTTGGACGTGAGGAGAGTGAAGACTCCTCAAACTAAATTGATCTAATTAAAATAAACATTGTTTTTACTAATGGATTTGTTCCGAGTGCCGAAAGGAATCAGAGTGGCGCCGACTAATACATGAATGGAGTAAAGAGTATACTGAAAGACGGGACGTTCCTTTTGCTACACCTCGAGATAAAAATAATAGTATGTTACTACGACTAGCTTACAATCTCACAAGATCAAAAGCGCTGATCCAAAGCGCTGGAATAGGTAGTTGTCCCATCCCAGCGCTAGTTGTCAGCGGTTGATATCGCAAAAGAACCAGTCTATGTAGATAAGCGCCATGTTGAGTTGGCCAAAAGTTTTCAATAAATTTGAATAAAAAATAATTCCTACCTTGTAGCAATTTCGTTAGCAATTTAACCTGAACACAAGGTGTGAAAGTATAAACAAAACTACATACATACATGTTACATGCGAGATCTCCATCCAAAAGGATAGTCCCCCCCCCTGCGTCATCTGCGTCATACTTGTATTATACAACTTCGCGGGTAATATTTTCTCCATCCTTTCGATCGCAGCCAATCTTCTCATACATTCAATCGTGATCCATTACATCCAATCTCTGCTCAGCCATCTTCCAATAAATACATCATTTAAGCTCTCCTAGGCTGGCCTCTTGAATCCGTTTCCCATCTTGGGTTTCCATTCAAGTAGAGTATATTAGGTAACCATCTTCAGCATCACTGAGCGATGTCCAACCAACGTAGCCGTTTTGTTGCTTATTATGCAGTAAGAGCAGTTATTGAAGCCCTCTTTAAAACATCTTCATTCTTATCGATGGAACCACCTCACTCTCAGGATCTGCGTAAGCTTACCTGATGAAAGACTCTAATCTCTTGTCTGCACTTGAGTCGTGTTCCATAATCTCACTCCATAGGTCAAATTGGTAAGAAACAGCTCGTATGTAGATTCGCACTTTGTTGTTAATGCTTTTTGGTTCTTATTCTTCCAAATGTTATTGAGTTGGGTTAAAACTCCTGTTGCTTTTCCAATCCTACACTTATTTCATTATCGATCGTGCCATCCGATGTAATTTTGGCACCCAAATAAGTTGAATTGAGGTGACACTGCTTTGCAAGTTTACATCGGAAAGTAATATCTAATGGTCCTATTCTCTGTGATTGGGTGCCTGCGACGTATCTTTCCCAATTACCATGATCTCTTGTTTTCTTTTGCGTCATCTTAAAAACCCCCAACCACACAGTATTTCGCAATATATTGTCCGTTGTTTCTTCTGCAGTCCCTTCGACAGTGTCATCCATGCCTGCTATGTCATCATTAAATGTCCCAAATCACTGCACAATTTTTTTTTTCCGGTTGTCTGGAACTTTGTCTGCACTGAAGATAAAACCACGCATATATTTTTAAACCTTCTCGTCAAGTTCTAATACCAGATTAAGTACAATGTTTGAAAAAATTGTTTTTACTAATGGATTTGTTCCCGAAGTGCCGGAAATGGAATCAGAGTGGCGCCGTACTAATACCATGAAGTGGTAGTAAAGAGTATACTGAAAGACAGGACCGTTCTTTTGCTACATCCTCAGGATAAAAATAATAGTATGTACTACGACTAGCTTACTAGCTCACAAGATCAAAAGCGCTGGATCAAAAGCGCTGGATAGCGCTAGTTGTCGCCATCCAGCGCTAGTTGTCGCGTTTTGACTATCGCAAAAGAACCAGTCTATGTAATAAGCGCCATGAGTTGGCCAAAAGTTTTCAAATAAATTTGAATAAAATAATTCCACCATGTAGCAATTTTCGTTAGCAATTTAACCTGAACACAAGGTGTGAAATTTTAAACAAAAATGTGGTCCTTAAATATTATAATTTTGGTACCAAAAGTTGCGTCTGACTAAGCTTATTAGTAATATTACGATCCTGTAAAAATTATTTCAAAATATTTAGAAGTTATAGGCATTTTAAGCAAATCTGTTTAATCCGTTTAATCCGTTTAATCCGTTTAATCCGTTTAATCCGTTTAATCCGTTTAATCCGTTTAATAAAGCTCGACGTTATCGTGCTACACGGTGAATTTGCATTATTCACACTTAGATGTTAGAGGCAACTTTAAATGGTACCAAATTTATCAAAATCAGAAACCAAAAATTCTGTGCTAGCTCATAGCACTTATTACTTCTGGTACCAAATTTATCAAAATCAGAAACAAAGAATTCTGTGCTAGCTCATATATGACGCTTATTACATAGACTAACTACACTTACAGAAATAAAAGGACCCGACAATCCGCAATTTAAGCCGTACTATGAAGTGGTATTACAGAGTTTACTCCCCTGGCGAGATATTAAAATAATACAGCGTGAGGCATCCTGACATGACCTCTTCTCGCGATATTGGTTTGCTTCAATCACCTTTACCGTATATATTACTATACCTGACAATCTCCGGAATAAGATTGGGATCCGAGGAGATTACAATCTGATCATAAGGTAAAACACTTTGTCTAAAACAAAGATTACGCTTTTGTCTCGGTATCATTTTGCATTTGCGCATGGTTATTCAAATTAATATCATTTCCTTTTGTTTGGGAAAGAGAGACACTGGCAGCCAGGGACAAAAGGATTTCGCGGCATGTACGAAACCGCGAAATTTCCCATTCTCCGCGACAAATCGCGATTTTTTACGTTTTCCGCGACAGATCGCGAAATTTCCCATTCTCCGCGACAAATCGCGATTTTTTCAGTCCTCCGCGAAAAATCGCGCATTTTCCTTTAAATCTGAAGACCAAATTTGCGCATTTTCCTTTAAATCTGAGGAGCAAGTTTGCGTATTTTCCATAAAATCTGTCACGTTTTCTACAAGTATTAAGTATATGAAACTAATCACATTTACAGCCTTTCGTGAGTACCGATTGTAGGTACATTCTCGATACGTACCTCTGAAGGCAGAGCTTCCGGAGCTTCCGAGCTCGTATTGCGAAGGGGAGGCCTGCCTTCCGAGATCGCATTACAAGGGGAGCCCTCGAGTCCAAAATCGTGTATCGAAGGGTATGTGTGAACTTTGAAAACCGAAAAAATATTTTCGGCTCATAATGATCAGGGTAGCATGAAACATGAACAAAAGTAGTTTCCAGAAAAACTTTGAAAAATTTTGACTTAGAAAATTTTCTGTCCGAGTCATTCTCGATACGTACCTCTGAAGGCGGAGCTCCCGCTTCCGAGCTTGTATTGCGAAGGGGAGGTCTGCCTTCCGAGATCGTATATGGAAGTTGACCAGTAGACATATAAAACTTGACCAGACGACATAAAGTTGACCAGTAGACATATAAAACTTGACCAGACGACATAAAGTTGACCAAATGACATATAAAACTTGACCAAACGACATAAAGTTGACCAGACGACATAAAGTTGACCAGTAGACATAAAAAACTTGACCAAACGACATAAAGTTGACCAGAAGACATACAATGGATTATCATTAAGAAATCGAACAGTATGTTAAATCAGTGTTGTTATTGAATCGTCACTAGTCAGATATTTCGTCATCGTTATTCGCTTGGTATTGTATTCGCTTGTTATAATGGTGAGCGCCTCCGTTATCTGCTTTTGCGTGGAGTTATCAGGTTGATATTTTTCTTTTTTGTCCAGAAATGCTGCTAGTTTTGGGGTGCCGCTCACATAGACAGCCTGTCTTTCTTCGTCATCTAGCTTCCTTTTTTTGGTGGCTTGGTTCGCGATGTCTCTCTCCTGCATAGCCTACCTATAATCTTCAGCGTGCTTGGTCTTCAGGTGGGTCCATAAAGGGTTAGACGACCAAGTTTTCCTGTTTCCTTCCTTTCCACGCTTAATCTTCATCGAGCACTTCTTGCAGCTTGCAAAAGGGGTCCCATTTTCTTCTGAGTAGAACAACCAGACGGATGATGTTTTAGATTTACTACTAGACATTGTTTAAACAAGCAGTACGTAGCAGACAAAATGTAACAAGAGTAGACACGAGTCACGACACTAGACGAGTAATTATCAGAAATGATATCTAATTGGCATATGCTGCAGAGCCCTGATTGAGCGTGTTAGTGCGAATTCCCTTTTTTTCATGCAGGTCTGCACGTGACTTACAACCAGCGGTGCCTAATAGGGTTGTTCGCAAGTCACGTGATTGCAGTAATGAGCTAATTACATAGCTACCCTGAACACGCGTGACCTTCATATTTCGTCACAATCAGAAGCACAACTGTACCCTGATTCACAGGAGTTTGCTGAATGCTGTATGCACAAAACTGGATCATAATATCAATAATAAAACGTGATAAAGATAAATACTAGAGCTACTGTTCGTAATAAGGTTCAGTTTTCCTCTAATTTAATACTGCCAAGGTTGCGATTATAGCCGGGGGCTAGCCCAGGGAGGTGGCCGAAAATATTTTTTCGGTTTTTTCTTTGTCCGAACCTACCCCTCGATACATAATTCTGGACTCGAGGTTTCCCCCGGTAATTCGATCTCGAAAATCACTTTTTTAAACAATTAATGCTACTTTATTCATTATTAGCCACAATTTTTTCCAGCCGGAGCCGGAACCGGATTTTGAAGCCGGATATCCGGCCGGAACCGGATTCAGCCGGATTTCCGGTCGGTTCCTAGTATCGATAACGAGATATGTCATACAGTACGTATGACATTGCAACATTTGATATCATGTCAAAAGTTATGGCAGCTCTTGTTGTTATGGACCCCCATCAGCCTGTATCAGATCATATGATGAGATCACATCCTCATGGGACATGAGCCGATCAAATAGAATAGTCAAAGAATATGTGAACTCTAACTAAGCACTGTAAATACATTATTTTTTGCCGCGAATTCGCCGCGATTTTTCGATTTTTTTGCCGCGAATATGCCGCGATTTTCGAAATTCCCGCCGCGAATTAGCCGCGAATTAGCCTAGTTTGGCTTGTCGCGGTGCCGCGATTTTTGGCCAAAATAACCGCGAAATCCTTTTGTCCCTGCTGGCAGCGGTCCACTCTACCCATGAGTATGAGTTTTTATCAAATACCCAATCGATTTCTCGGGACAGTTAACAATCAAATGTCGTAACGCGATTTATTTAATTTCATTTTAAATTGTTGGCACTGTTGGCACAGCAATTAAATTTATTGTTTTATTAGAAATATCTTTGAAAGAATCATCAGCAGTTTGGAATCTAAACAAATTCCTAAAAATAATTCACTTTTTATATTGGGCCAGACATTATCATATAATTTGACTTTTGAATCGTTTAAACCGTTTAATCCGTTTAGAGAAAACGATTTGTGGCGCTAAAAAATCAAAAAAATAATATTATATATAGAAGAACATTTTGATTTGCAATTGTGAAAGTGAATTTGACAAGCGTGTTAAAGTAAATTAAATTGGGCATCTAAAATAGAAAAAGCTATCAGAAATCGGACGTTGGTGGCGGGGTTTTAATTTAAAAATCAGCCTGGTCGGCCGTTCTAATTTATGGATAGATATATATATATGAAATATTCATATCGCATGCTTAAAAGTTTGAGTTCATGTTTTTCTAACGTAATGCATTGTCGTTCAACCATCCCTCATGCAGTCCGCAACAAGTTTAGATGTTCATGTTTAAAGCAAACAGGAGAACAACAAGAAGAGCGCTCAATTTGTGGGCAACTGATTGAGAGTAGTTGTGTTCAGACTCAGTCTCGTCTCCGTCTGTCTCGTCTCCGTCTGTAGAAGTAAATAATTTATTAAATTCAGTAAAATATAACACAGGCAATAACAGCTATAATTTGGGCTAAAATGTTTAAAAACATCTGAGCTATAACTATACCTATAAGGTCATGCAGTAGGGGATTAGCTAAATTAAACGGCTTAGCCCTTAGGTCGCATCTGACAGTGTGATGCCAACTTTCTACAGTAGGTACGAACATTCCATTTGTCATTTGCTTCATTGTGTAACACAACAACAAGGGAATGAAACCCAAATAACTAAAATGAACTTACTCTCTGTGCAGTCACTTTCAGCTAATCCCAACCCTGCGCCCACGTGAGTTCCTGCTGGACAAGGTGTGCAGGCAGTATCGCCGGCGTCTGCACTCCAATGATCTGCAGGACACTCTTGGCAATCAGCATCAGCATCCAAGTAATAGCCCCAATAGCATGAATCTGAAAATTTGGAATTTATAATTGTTTAACATAATATGTTAAAGCATAAAAATATATGGTATGTACTATTTTACTGTGTATACCCAATACCCATACCCTGTACTCACTACTTATTAATATGATAGCCATGATCTAGCATACAATCATAGTATACATGTATAGTATTTAATCCCGTTCATGATGAGAAATGACTTGATTTGTAATAAATTCTCCTTTCATTGCTCACTTTACTGCCAGTGACTGTTACTTGCACACAGTGGGATGAAAGTAAATCAACAAGTTTGGTAGACATGACTTAACAAATTCCTATGTCCTCCAGGGCCGGATTGCATTGAATCATTATTCAATTTAACCTCACACTCTTATAGAATTATATAGGAACGTGGTAGACTGATCAAATTGCAGTAAACCAAATTTTCAATTTTGCAAGAATAGCTATTATATCGCAAAAATGCTCCGCTGAAAGTAGCCTTGTTATTGTTCCAGAATCCAGAATGTCCTAGCAACACTGGCATAAAGATTGACTTAATCAGTCCTATAATTTGTCTGGTCCTAGTTTGGCAAACTTGTCAGTTTGGTTCTGCTCTACGGATCAGAGGCTTCAAAGAGAAAGGTCCTAACAAGCCAAAATTAGTTTCTTTATTTCCTTGACAGAGTTGATGGGCATACAAATTGCTCAGTTAAGCAATTACAATAAATCGGGATATTGCTATAAAAAGGTTGTAGGTTTATAACCTACCAGGCCGGACGCGCGCCGAGTTGGACTCGTCGACGCGGTCCTGTTTAATATTTGAAACAAATATTTTACGAGTATCACCCGTTAATAAAAAGGCAGAGACCCTTATATAATATATATTACTGGTAGTTCTGAAGCTTCACTCCCACACCACCCCTCCACCCCCACCCCACCCCATTCCCACACCTACCCCACACCCTAGAGTTAAATTATTAGGTATAAGGTGCCACCTATACCTAATTTACAATATCTACCTAGATGGTAACCGAGAAACGCGCTCTGCCATGAGTTAAATCTCAGTAGTTCAATCTCTTGTGTCCAGAAATTTCTCCAGTTTGGGTAATCACATGTATCGTCTGTGAGGAGTAAGTTGATCACTTCCACTCCGTTGACCTGGACTTTAAAAGACGGATTTGCTCCTGTGGTCGCAAGAATACTCCACAATTTCTCAGCTTCAGTGGGCATGTTCTCGGGAAATAAGCTGTTTTTATTCTTGCAATTTTTTATCAAGTAATCATCTGGTTTATTATACGTATCTGAAGGAAAGTTCACGGTTAACCCCCCTAGTCTTTCTTTATCCGCATAGAAATCCACGTCGAGTTGCTCAAAATAGTCTTCGACCTCATTGTCAGTTTTGAATTGTATTGCAGTTCTATCGAAGCTGTGGGGAATACCGGTTTGCTGTTGTGACAGGTCTTCATTTAGCTTGACTGTTTTCCATTGTATCTCTGTAAAAATGAATCTGTTTAGTTGATTTAGAGAGGGACTCATGGTACTACAGACTGCCCACCGGCAAAACTCTTTAAAAGACAAAAGTACGTACGTGCAATTATACAATTGTTTGAATCTGGTTTTATCGAGAGACCAAGAAACTCAAGTTAAGGACTCAGGGCCTTAGATACTGGGTAAAATTTGATACCTGATTTCACTGTGTCGAGTGATGCGAAAATAAGAATTACTGCTATTGGATAGATCATCTCAGCTTCTTTGCCGATACCTAACATTAGTATTACAATATTGATTCATGTCAATTTCAGAAAAAAATTAAAATAATTATGGTTAAAATTGTATCAATTATGAAGATAAAAGTGAATCGTAGAAAAGAATTTGCAATATCAGCTGTAGACAGCAATCAGATAAATCAAAAATTAACAACGCTTTTGCAATCAATGTTTCTTATGGGCATTTTCTGCTCCGGATCCCGATCAGGGTCCGAAGGAAGTTTTGGAATTTCTCAACCTGTGTATATCTAACATTATAGTTATACTGTATTTTAAACTTGAAGAAATCCCCCTGGCAACGGGGACAAAACACTGATAATCGACCTAAAAATGACCCTCTGGTGTCACCAATTTCAGCTCGCAAATGGAGTTGAAACCTCGCCATTTTTAACAGGGTTGTGAAAAAGGATAGGAATTATATTTATAGTCACTATATAGCATTCTTAGAATTTTGATTAGGGCTTTAGATTTTCTATAATAAACGTCAGAAGTGAGTTACAATAAACGTTATATTATTAGAATAATGTTGTTATTTTAGCAAAGGTAAATGGCGTCGTTTCTTAGCAACATCTATTGAGATTGCACGCGTGCGAGCAAAAACAAAAAACAGATTAGCAACGCGCGTTGCCATGCTTTATGATACGTCATAATATAATGTATAAACTTCACAACTAGACAACTTGCAACTGACAACTAGCTCACATTTACGTTTACGCTATGACTATATAATTATTCATAAATTTGGTTGTGATTAATATTTTTCGATGCGGTAGAAAGTGTTTTTTAGGGAATTTGAATATTAAGACTTTGTCGTCATTGTCAGAATCAAATAAAATCCATGATTTCTACAGTATAACTTATAGTTATATAACAGAGCTTTATGATAAAAATAAATTAAAACATAACTGATTTTTAAAAGTTCCTCGAACAAAGTTTTCGACTTGCGGGTTTCTAGTAAAAATATAATACATGCGGGAAAAATTATTTTCGAACTGTGAAAAATAAGTGAGAAGATCAACGAAGCTAAAGCATAAAGACACGACACACATCACCAGTACCACTAACCAATTACGAGAAGAGCTAGCAGTTATCTAGGGAACCAGACACGAAATATGAAATAGCAGACCATCTATAAGTATAAATTGCTAAATTGGTCTGTGAAAGCTCTATACCAATTATTGGTACCTTCAAAGCTTCAAGAAAACCTTGTTAGTTTGTCTATACTATAAAACAGACATGAACTATAATAGAATTTCGTGTCCTCTTGTTTGTGACCTTATTATTACTGTTAGGTAGGTTAACTATTATTATATAGGTTTATATTGCAGTTCCAGATGAACTTATAGACTTATAGAGTTAAACTTAAGGAGTTATAGACAGCTAGCTTGACACAAAAACCGGAACTAGGCAATTGCCTTACTTCGGCCTGATAATTGGTTTAGAGCTCATACAATATTAATTATAAACCCCAAATTTTTCTGCAAATGTTTGATAACTCCCTTTTCTTGTTGAGCTGATTGCCGTTCCCTGACAAAAGGCATTAAGTCACATCGATGTTATTTTGAGAAAATGGGAGAAACGTGTTTGTCGTTTTTTAGGTAATTTTACTCGCATAAAAGGGGTTAACTTTGACATTTATGCGTAAATAAATTATTGTCGTATGTCCTAAACAGTAAACATGTTTAAAACTTTGAAAGCTTAAATAAAAATTCACCAACACTGATAGATTTAGACTTACTGCCTTTTATCAGGATCGATTTCAACCGATTCTTCTTTATTATATATATAGAAATTGCTCTATCCAGAGCCCTTGCGCTTGCAGTAGCGCGCGCCCGCCTCACTTGACTTGTGAAACAAGCGCGCCCGAAGTGGCGCGAAAGCACATGGTTAGGTGAAATATAGAAAGGCAGTAAGTCCATTTTTCCTCAGATAATCATAAAGTTTAATTGACGATGTCAATTCATCGCAGCTCGGCGCGGCACAACAGCGCATCTCGCCGATCTAGCGAGGAGCCTCATTGAGTGCGCGGCGCGGCACACCCAGCAAATCCTACCGGCTGGGGTATATCTCCAAAAGTAAAATAAATAGAACCTTCCGGTTTTCAACAAAATTTCCGTCTCGTAAATTTAAAGTTAGCTCCCCAGGAGCAAAATTTGAGACAACTTAGATTCTGAATTAAATCGTGCACGATAAAATAAACTTGCTACAAATTTTTTGTACCACTGTTTTTTAGAGACTGTGAGAATTTTCACAATTCAAAATTTGTCATACCTTTTTGGAAAAATCAGTGAGTTTCGCCTAGGTGCCATATTTGATGCTGCGCGGCTTTTGTCATGTATTGGAGCAAAAATTGCTGTAAAAGTCGCGTAATTTGACCAAATTCGTTGATTTTTGTCGTATTATTCGGATATATTTTCGGTTCCTTGAATGAAATCATTCTGAAAATTGGCGACGACCTTCCAATAGGGCTTTCACAACTGTCCGAAAAATTTGGTGGATATCGGAGTTGATATAGTGATCAAAATGGGGCAAAATACGCTGCTTTAAGCTGTAACATAATGTTTGATGGTTAGATATGCTTTAAATTTTTCGGACACTTTCCTTGTAAGTCTTTGAGTAAGCTTACCAATTTGTTGCAATCAGAGGTCGGGAAGGATACTCAATATTTATTTGTTTGAAGAAAATTGTGCTGGCCGAAATTAGCGCTAAAAAACCATCCTACAGTCGGCACGCGCGGCTCACTGTTGATGGCGCACTTAATTCACCGCTGCGCGCAGTGTTGTGACCGCTCTTCGTCTTATTTTACACATATTTGGACGTTGCCAATTCATTCCATTGATAATTTTGAAGTTTTAACATTTTTATACTAAATTCTTTTTTAATTTGGTTCTAAAACGATTAGGCTTGCTTTCTATGAAACTTTAATGTACTTTCGTAAAATAATTTTGATGTGGCAGCGATTTGAAAAAGAAATTATTTAAAAATGATACAAAAAAATCGGACATTTTTTGATATTAAAACATATATAACTTGGGCTGTGTTGACAGTAGAAAAATTAATTAACCTCTATCCGACAGCTTTAAAAATTTTCTAGGCGCCGCGCAAATCCACGCGCGCATTTTAGCGTGTCAAAATCGTTTAAAACTATAATTAGTTGATGAAGGAGCATAATGCAGATCATACGTTGTACGTGTACGTGGTGTGATCATTATAATTTCGCGCTATTTCTTGTTTCTGCACTCGCTTTGAACTTTAGCTTTAACAGCAGTTATCGACTTAGCTGTATTACACAGTGTACTTGGTACATAATTGATCAAAAGGGCTCGTGTTACTTTAACATCACTTTTGAATTTCACGAAAGCAGATAAAAGGTAGGTTTTCGTTGAATCAAAGTAAACTAATATCAATTAGAACGAGTATAATTGTTTTACTTTAAAACATCGCTTGGTACTGTCAGCCTATTTTATAGCTAACGACATTCTGGATGATGATTAATCACTCTACACTCGACTGTCACGTGACTTTTTAAACACGTTCTCTTGGTGGCCCTGAATGACTATTCGAAATCATAGCCCTCTAATCTGATGCCAACCTTAACCCTAACCCAATCCCTAACAAAAGCATATGCTGAAACCCTAACCCTACTAGAAATTCGACCAACTTCCTTATACGGTCATATCACGTGATCAAGACAGTTTTTCGCAAATATCTCGGCAGGGGAGCATTTTAACCCTATGTCATGGGGGTGATTCGGAATCAGCGGCGGAAAATACATCGATTTAAGCTGGTTTCAACTGTCGGGGGCCCTTTTAGAACAATCTCGAAGATCGACTGTAGAGTGATTTAGCACGCTCGACATTCTCGCTTTAGGTTATTTTATATAAAACAGTTTTACCACTGTGAGTTGTTCAAGCATTGCACTAGTTTATTACAAAGATTATCAAAACCTTGCGGTAAAATTATTATTATACAAGCACCCATAAATGACAAAAGTCACTTAATTTCAACATTGCTTTTGTAATTTCCTACAGCTCTTACTTGCAGGTCGCCCCGTGGTGGTTCATGGAATTGGAGGCGTCTAAAAAAACTGACTGAACTATACACTATAATCTAATTTATATGATTAGTGCTTATTAACCTCTTCGAGCCTTTTATTAAATCTACAAATGAACTTGCAATGTTTTGCAGTTTTAGTGACGCTGCAGAAAATAGATTGAAGAAACTCCGGAATACTCAATACTGTGGATTGGGAGGAGGAGAAAGTGATAATCCTGTTATATGGACTGTTTCTAGGACACGATAAACTTCCTAATAAGGTATGTGTTTAGGATACGATAAACTTCTTGTGAGAATCGTGTTAAGAGTTCAATTTTGAGATATACCCTCCTGAGGATGAAAGTTTGGTTACCAAGTGAGATGACACAGTCAGTTACTTAGATACCGTGGTTTTAAAAAGGTGTAAATAGTTGGATAAGTGTAACTGTAAAACACGTTATTTGGCCGTTTAAGATCCTGAAATGAGTGCCAGGAGTCAGTTTTGTGGGTTATATTGCTGACTTTAAAGGGGTTTTAAAAAGGTGTAAATATTTGGATAAGTGTAAAACACATTGTCTGGCCGTTTAAGATCCTGAAATGAGTGCCAGGAGTCAGTTTTGTGGATTATATTGCTGACTTTAAAGGGGTTTTAAAAAGGTGTAAATAGTTGAATGAGTGTAAAACACGTTATTTGGCCGTTTAAGATCCTGAAATGAGTGCCAGGAGTCAGTTTTGTGGATTATATTGCTGACTTTAAAGGGGTTTTAAAAAGGTGTAAATAGTTGAATAAGTGTAAAACACGTTATTTGGCTGTTTAAGATCCTGAAATGAGTGCCAGGAGTCAGTTTTGTGGGTTATATTACTGGCTTTAAAGGGGTTTTAAAAAGGTGTAAATAGTTGGATAAGTGTAAAACACATTGTCTGGCCGTTTAAGATCCTGAAATGAGTGCCAGGAGTCAGTTTTGTGG